GGAACGAACCGCGACCCGCGCGACCCGTGACCCGCATGGGCTCGACCCGGATGGGTCAGCGGGCGGGCCTGGGTTGTAGTCCAAAATTGTGGGCCGACCCGTAACCGGCCCGGAACCCGCAGCGGGCGGGCTTTTTTTCACGCGGGCCGTTACCGGGCTCACATGTTGGCGGGCCGACCCGGCCCGGACCACCCGGATTGACACCTCTACACTAGTTGTCCAAATTATTTATTTATTTCGTTAGATGGTAAATAAAAATTTAATTTTACCTTCCCCAAACCAGATTTGAATTCGGTCATCGACTTGGCAAGAGTGAACTCTTACCACTTAAGCTAAGCAGTAGCCAATGTTAGTTCTTCTACTCATTTTCAACTATACATTCTTCAAAAAAATAATATTTTTCATCACATCAATAACTTTTCATTCTTCTTCAACCACACATTCTCCATCAATTTACTATTACAAAATATATTCTTCCAAAATAATGTGGCTCAAATACACCCTAATCTGACTATTAACCAGGAACTTATTGGTATGTTTGAAATGATGTGTAGTTGAAAGTAAGTTAAAAAAAATAAAAATTAAATCATTGTTTGAGTCCCATCTTTTCGAAACTTATTTTCAATTAAACATTCTTTAATAAAGTAATTTTACACGTAAATTTTTTTTTTTCCTATTTTTTTAACTACAATCTCTAAAAAATTACTATTCCAAAACACATTTCCCCAAAAAATATGTCTCAACTAAAGGCTAACAAATCTCTGCCAAACATAAACGGAATGTAGCTTATATTGCGATCTCTACCAAACATAAACGGAATGTAGCTTATATTGCGAACTTTAAGATGACAAATCCTATGAGTTGAGTTGATCGATATGTGACCTTTCTTCCATCAAAATTATGGAAGCAATAACATTGACGTAGATGAGGGAAGTAAAGAAAAAGAAAAGTCTGGAGAATTTGAGGACTGAAATTTAGACAAAAATAAACTGTAACTAGTGTGGGGGTGATGAGATCCAAAAGTAGCCCATATGAGAAGTTCTACTCTATAAATTAGTCCATAGAATAGCCCAATTGAAAATGGCTGAAAACTTGATGATGTCATACTTCAGCCCAAATGAAGTGAGAATAAATAAGCGAAAATTTCAGAATTAAGAAGTTTAGTTTTACTATTTTCAAATTTAAGACATTAAGTTTAAAATTTTAAATTTAAGAGTTTTTTAAATTTTATTTATAAATTAATTAATTAAATATATATTTTATTAATTAAATACATTAAGGTCACAATTTGATCACAAATTTCATATAATGTCACAAATCACAAATTTTATATGTCACAAATTATTTTACGATCGCGAATCAAAAATTTTATAGGTCACAATTTGTTTATCGGTCACATATCAAAAATTGAAATGTCACAAATTATTTTATGGTCACAATTCAAAAAAATTACGTGTCACAATTTGTTCATCGGTCACAAATCAAAAATTTTATAGGCCACAAATTATTTTACGGTCACAATTTGTTCATTGGTCACAAATAAAAAAATTTATACGTCACAACTTGGCTGCAATAAAAAGTTTAGTTTTACTAATTTCAAATTTAGGACATTAAATTTCAAATTTCAGAGTTTTTTTAATTTTATTTATAAATTAATTAATTAAATATATATTTTATTAATTAAATACATTAAGGTCACAATTCCATATAATTTGATAACAAATTTCATATAATTTGTCACAAATCACAAATTTTATATGTCACAAATTATTTTACGATCACGAATCAAAAATTGAAATATCACAAATTATTTTATGGTCACAATTCAAAAAAATTACGTGTCACAATTTGTTCATCGGTCACAAATCAGAAATTTTATAAGTCGCAAATTATTTTACTGTAACAAATCAAAAATTTTATAGGTCACAAATTATTTTATAGTCACAATTCAGAAATTCTATAAGTCACAATTTGTTCATCGGTCACAAATAAACAATTTTATACGTCACAACTGGTCGCAATTGTATACAATTTGGNAAAAAAATTATACACCACTACTTGGTCACATTTATATAATTTGGTTACAAATTCATTTATCGATCACAAATCAAAAATTTTATAAATCACAATTCATTTATCGGTCACAAATCACAAATTTCATAAGTCACAATTCAAATTTTTAGGTCACATATTATTTATTAGTCACAATTTATTGATCACACGTTATTTTTTAGTCACAGAATACCCAAATTAATGGTCACAGTCTGAAATAATTGGTCACAAACCCTCTTAATTCCACTACCTACCCCAATCCACAAAGCACCACCACTTCCAACAACTACCACCACAACAACTACCACCTAAACCACCACCACCAACAAAATCGTTGCCATCGTCGCCCAAAAATCATCAACAAATCAAATCCACCACAACAGTCGCACCACCACTGATGGGTGTTGCTCAAGCCATCCTTCTTTTTTCATCCGAGTTCTTAACCGACGACGCCTCTATACTGTAGCTTAATATTTGGTTGTCATAAAAATTCGGGTCTAGTGGATCATGGACCATGTCAAAACTCGAAGCACCATCGGGGCAGCTCTACACAGGGGATGCGTCTACACTCTCTACACTTGGAGATTTACGTTCGATAAATGAAGTGGAAGAGAAACCAAGAGGAGTTGGGGTCGGACTTGGACTGAAAAATGATCGAAGTGCCCAAACAACCAAAAAAGCCACCAAAGCTCCGTCGGCTTAAAGAAGAGTGTCAGAAAAGAAGGAAGTAGTTTTACTCCGACCACGAGGCTTGGCCATGGAGAAATTTTGATATGGGGACTACGAGGAAGAGGAAAGAGAAGGACAAGATAGGGAGAGAATGAAATGTGATAAATGATTTGAGATTTTTAGGGTTTAGGTCATTATAATTTAGATGAAGATGAATTAACATCTGATTTTTGTATAAATAAAGTTTATATGTGAAATTTGAAATTGAAATTTTAAAAGTCTGATTTTGTGTAATTTCCTCAATAAATAAAGGGGAAAATGAGCTACATACCACCCTTTTTTTTATGATAATTAAAATATACTCCCATCTTAATCTTAGATATATTATTATTATGCATTGCTATCAAGACTCCTAGTGGAGACCATATCTCGTGGAGAGATAAGTCAAATCGACAATCAACAAAGACTCAATTTGTCAAAATAAAGAAGTCAAAGAAAAAGTTGATATCTTTTATTCCAAAGCTCCTTTTGGTCAAATTCTTCGCTCCATCCGAAGCTCCTTTTTGTTGAAAGTATTAATGTCTTTTAAAGAGTTTATGGTATGATTGGACAAAATTCTCGAACTGA